TTTAGAGAATAAGAATTACATATAAATTGATCATTTACATCAAGTAGTTTTGAGCCTCAATCAACACCCAATGGGATTTTGACATCTGTTACCCATGACCTTAGTTTAAGACTGCACTTGGGTCTAGTAGTCTGTCAGGCCTATAATAATCTCCAGTTTTGTAGCACAAAGTGACTACAAGTATTTGTACTGCCCTAGATGGTGCTAGTCCATTGCAGGGTTACCCTCAGCATTAAGTTTGCTGGCAACCCTTTACATACCTGAGTGGACAAACACATTGAAAGAGTAAAGTGTGCTGCGCAAGAATGCAAAAGAATGCCCCCAGTGAGTGCTTAAACCCCAATTGCTCAATCTGGAGTGCCGAGCACTGACTTTAGACCAATTTTACACTTATTGAGTCATAGTCTTAGCTTCGACCACAAAAAAACACTTGCGCAAAGGGACACTAAATGTGATTCTGTCACCGGTGGAAACCAGTCTCAAACACAACTGTACCTCAACTCTGTGGCCTCAGTGAGTTGACTTCCAATGTAGTCATCCATGGCATCTGATGATAAAACCTCATGACACAGGGTCACCAGGATCTACATTAAACAGGGAACCAAGGAAATAAGGATCAAGATTGAAATATGTTGGTAAAGTGAATAGCCACTAATAAATAATTTGTATGTGAATACAGACATGATATTTAACTATTTTATACAGATAAACTTAAACCAATAATAAGAAGAATGTCAATTCAAATCATAAACACATATGTATGCCTTGTAACCATCATACATTAAAAAAATGATCACCAAACTGAAATTGATCTGGACTTATAAGGAAATTCTCCCCACTACTACTATCAGAAATCCCTGAGGCCAGTAAGGAGAAGTTTTACATTGATCAAGGCCTTAAAGGATTAGCTAAAAAATAGAAACAACACCTTTGTCTTTTCCTCAGGAGTGAGATTGTAAAAATCTTCATGTTGAAGTGATTCCAGTATTCCCTGGAGCTGTTTATCATCTTCATAACTTGTTAGTATCTTGAATTTTGAGTTTAAGTAAAGTCGGGAGACCTCTGATGCCGACTGTTGTGTCAATGGCATTACAGCTAGTTGCATGCCTAGCTCTTGACCCTAGAAAATACAAAACATCAAAGTCAAAAAGATTATTTAAAGAAAATCCTGTCTGATAGCTTGAGGCAGGTGGATTTTTCAGTAGGGCTAGCGGATTCTGTCCGTCACTTGCCCAATAAGGAAGTGATGTTTCTTGGGAACATCTTGGAAGAAATTCAATAGGCCATATATTCACAGCTTTAGACTGAACTATCTTGCAACGGAGGCTCGTGCAAGGGAATATCATTAAAAACAGATTAATGCCATTTGCCTCACTGCATTAGCCTAAGTTGCAAGTTAGTTCCAGTCCAATGCCAAGAATACAAAATTAAGGCCTATTGCAGAAATATTTCAAGATGACCTTTTTGGAGGCTTGTGAGAACCAGTTTTGGGCTAGAACATCAAAGTGAAATTTTCTCAAAGGGTAAGCCTGAAAATTGCTTTTCTTTCCACTCCCTCACATCTATAAGCTTTATAATCAATAATTCAATGGTTTAATAAAGTAGAACTAGAAAAGAAAATACAAAAAGAAAAGTTTTGGAAACTGCATCTAGAGGG